AGATATGACTCATTACATACATGTTCTCAAGATCAATAATACCTAGTCTCAACAAATATGAGTTGACAGCAGCACTCTTCACAGATAGTTCTTCCTGGATTCACTTGGCAATTAGGGGGGTCATCTGTGTTCGCTAGTTGGCTTTATCCAAGGTGTGAACAAATTTCTCACATCTCTATGAAAGGAGGTAGTTTTGCAACTTGGAGAGAAGCACCCACCTAAGTTAGGCTCCTAAGTTAGGTTCTTGCTCAAGTTAAGTCCCTAAGTGAGTCTCCTACCTAAGTTAAGTTAGGTTTCTAATTAGGTTCTTGCCTAATTAAATAATGTTCTCATGTTAGGCTCCCACCTTTGCCCAGTAACTGGGAGACAGGGGTCCTGTCTTCTTTGATGATTACATTTCAAAGAAATGGTTCCAGGTCCTAAGATATTCCTTGCCAGTTTAAAACTGGCAAGAGGTTTATTTACTTTTAAAAGATTTATGTACATTTCAAAGAGACAGAGAAAGAATTTAGGACAACAAGACTTCTAAAGTAAAGGGTTTAATAAAAGACAGAGGGAAGTATGTGCATTCATTTGCATTTGCCCTACAGTGGTAGGAGGTGAGCTGGTATTTTAAAGACTCCTGACCCAGGCACTCTGATGCTATTGTGGGGAGGGGGCATTGGGGAAAACAGCTGTGGGGAATGACCCAGATGTCTGCTGAGAGCTGTGGCAATGGTGGCCCAGGGAGTTTTGCTCTGGGGTTTGCCTGACAGATCTGCCCTAAGGCAGATGCACCATCCCTCTTCCTTGAGGAAACACTATGGCTTGAGCACACAGGCAGGGCCCTGCACCCAAGGTTAGAAAACCAGAGGCCAGGACACCAGAGATGGTATATTGTGACAAGTGCCCCTTCCCTTCCCCCACCCTGACCCTGGCAGCAGCAGACAGGGCTATTTTTCTAGACAGCTGGGAAGAAAGGAAAGCTCCTGTGGCAACCCTGGTCAGCAGAAGGAGAGACCCATGAGTCAACCCTTGCCTCACTCAGCCTAAGGGATAAGGTGATTTCTGAACAAGAAATAAATATGAAGGAATCAAAGCCTGGCCAAGGCTGGACTTCCTGAGAATGCTGATATGTTAGGGCCAGCATTAGTACAATTTGGATATATCCATGAATATGTGACCTGGTAACAACAGTCAGCTGAGCTCTGTGAATATCTGATAACATGTATATTTTCATAAGTAATTTTAGAAAAAACACTCCTTGGGAAAATGAATACAAAAATACTGAGTTGTTAAATCTGGCTAGTGGAATACATTTTTATTATGTACAGTGAAATATGCAATAGTAAATGTTCAATTATATGCATTTTGTCAAATGGGAACATGTCCGCAACATCACCCCAACCAAGGTGTAGGACATTTCATCACCCCTTCCACGTCCTATCCCCTTCCAGTCAATATCCCCACCCCCACCGCAGGTAACCACTGCATATTTTTTGTCATTTCTCTTTAAGTAATTGATTTTTGGATGATATTGTTTATGATAATCTTAATTTCAAATTCCCATTGTCATTGCTCTTAGACAAGAATGTAGTTTAATTTTGTGTAATTAACTTGTATCCTAAAACTTGACTAGACTCATCTATTATTTCTGGTAGGTTTTTGTACGCTACTTAGGATTCCTACATATATGACTGTCATCTGTGAGTAAAGGCTGTCTAGCATCTTTCTTTACCATCTGAGTGCTTTTCCCTTCTTCTCCTGCCTCAGTGCACTGGTTGGGATCTCCAGGACAACGTTGAATAGCAGTGAGGAAGGTGGACATGCTTGCCGTCCTCTCGGTCTTGGGGGAAAAGCATTCAGTCTTTCACCACCTACTGTGATGTTAGCGGTAGGTGTAATGTATTTTTCCTTTTGAGTGATTTTTGGCAGTTGTGTTTTTCAAGGAATTTGTCTATTTTATCTGTTGTTGAATTTACTGGTATGAAGTTGTTCTCCCACTGGGGCTTTAATTTGCATTTCTCTGATGGTTAATGGTGTTGAGAACATTTTTATGTGCTTGTTATCTATTTGCACGTCTGCATTTATGATGTACCTATTAATTCTCTTGCCAAGTTTGAAAATTTGAGTTATATGTCTTTTTAATATTAATTTATAAGAATTCTTCATATATTCTTGATATGTCTCCTAGTCAGACATATGTATTGTGAACCTTTTGCTTCAGTCTGCAATTTTTTCTTTTTATTTCGTTAATGATGCCTGGAGAGCCCCATGTGGGAAAGACAGTACACTGCCCTCTCCATTCCGTGTTGCTCTCTACCTTCAGCTTGTCAGACTTGGCAGGTCATTAGATCAGTCAAACTGACATAATTCAAAGAAGGAATACCAGGGCTTGTAGCTGACACCGGCAACATTGTCATGGGAAACCTCTGATGTCCAGTTAGGCCAGTCCATTTCTTCAGCC